GAATATAGTTAATGGCCATGTCTACTACATACTTGCCCATTAAACAGCTAATTAAAAGTGCATGTGCAAAGAGATATTAAGTATCCTTACAACATATCTTTATTTTAACAATCAAATTTTTTAGAACAATTAAGTAAACATAAGAATCTGTAAATGTGTGACACCTTTCTCATAACAAAGCAGCAATATTCAAAATGAATACATACTCCATAATATTGTCAAATATGAAAAATATTCATACTGCCATGGTCTTTACCACCATACTGAAGTAGTGGTGATATTTGATTTGAACATTTTTACATTTAAAAAGTTTCTTACATTTTTAAACATAAAAGTACAGCCTAACCATTCTTAATTTGTTGTTTAAAACAGAATTTATAATGAATTAGCAATAAAACTCTATTTATTTTTCTTTGGATTTTCTTTTCCTGAAGAGACATGAGTCCACAAATGTCAAAGAAAATTTGAGTAAAATGCAAGAAAGATCTAGTTAAGTAGGCAGAATATTTATGAAAAGAAAAGGAGAGAAATAGAAAAAACCAAACATTGGAAAAGCTTCCTACCATAAAGGAAATAACAACTTATGCTCAAAAAATAAAAGATAAAAAATGGTATAACATTAAAAGAAAGTACCAGAAGAAAAGAAAAACTATCAACAAATTTTGCTCAGGTACAAGATCCTATTTTATGGCATCATTGCATCACAGAGTGGAAAAGGGAATGGGATCATTTACCACAACAACATATCTCCTGTCAATTTATTCCAGACATTGCAAGATGCCTTACATGGAAGTGGTTTCATCCACAACACCAGATCTTGTAGATGATAACCGAACATGGATGATTTAATGCATACTTGAACCATTTTCATCACAGTGACACGAATTGCTGCCCAATCTGCGATCTGGGGTGAGACATTATCTTCTATCCTACCCAATGTTGGAAGATATCAGGCACATACTTAAATTTCAAATGAAAGAGGACAACCATAACTGGCCGTGCGAACTAGAATTACTAATATCCAGCAAAAGTTACTTCAATCTTTTTAACATCATGACCAAACTTTACATCAATAGGAATCTAATACACTAAGTATGGTACATCTTATTTTTATTTTCTTTGTACAGTACATATGCAATATTTTGCTTTGTTTTTGTTTAATAGCTCTTTGATGTCGGTTTTTTTACATTCAGCATGTGTTGACTGTGTAAATCATGTACATTCTTCTGACTGTGCCCAGTGGTGTCAGGTGACTAAAGAATAGTTTGTCTGTCTGTAGTATCATTCATAACAACCATCTGTTGCACCTATGCCTATCAACAGGGGTGTCCGCAGGGCTCCAGGTCTGGACTGTTGCTCTGGAATGTTCTCTACAATACCATCTTCTGCCTTTCCAAGGAGGCCCCAGCAGACTTCCAGACAAATATTCAGGAATATGCTGATGACACCACCATCTTAATGGTACATTCCAATCAGGAGGTGCTTCAGGCTCAGATGAACAACTTCCTCAAAGTGCTCTCTAACTGGTGTAACAAGAACAAGCTCATGCCAAGAGTAGCTGTATAGTTTTCCCAGGAGAAACCCTCTGGCCAAGAAACCAACAATAAAAATCAAGAATGGGAGGATTAAGTATGTCAGTTCTATGAAATATTTAGGGGTGATCCTGGATGTAAAGCTTAATTGGATTCCACACATTCAGTTTGCCCACGACAAGGCCCTTCTTGCTATGCACACCCTTCGTTCCATCTCCCAGAACACCTGAGGCCTAAGCCCTAAGGCTACAAGGATTTTATATGAAGGTGCCATCACACAATCATCGCCTATGGCTGTGAGGTCTGAGGCAAGGAGACCATGAGGGTGCATGTGAGGAGGAAGCTGCTGACAGTGCAAAGATGTACAGGACCTTTTCCACTGAAGCCCTTCTGATTATCACAGGGCTCACACCAGTTGACCTGGCCATTAAAAGGAGATACTGGCAATTTCATTTGCTCAGGAGTCAGCAGGGCAATACTACCTACAAGACCTTCCAGCCTAGTGAGTTACACACTCCCATTTTTGACCTTTGGGAGAAGGTCATTGAGCTGGGGATTGATTGGGTCTCTCTGCATAACCTTGTTCATCCAGCAGACCTTCCTAATGTAAACTTCTATCTGGAGGCTGATAGGGCCCCTTGTGGCTTTAATATCTACACTGATGGTTCTAGGAATCAGTCAGGGACTGGATGTGCTGTAGTGGTGGTGAATGAGGGAAGGTGCTACTTCTATCAAGGGAGGTTCTCTTTGACAGCTCACTGCAGTGTCAACCAGGCAGAATCCCTGGCGATCCTTAAGGCCCTTCAACTTATTGATGAGAAGGGTCTCATAAGCATTTCGAGCTGCTTCAATATTATTTCTGACAGTAGGGTGGCCCTCTTACAGCTTAAAAGCAGGAATATCCACCTCTCTATCATTAGGGACTTGTTTAATACTATCTCAAGTATTGGGCCCAATACTCTTCTTGAATTTTGCTGGGTTAGGGATCATAACAGCAAGGGCAACAATAAGGCAGACCTTTTGGCAAAGAAGGCTGCCTCTGAGAAGGATAACCCTTCTTACAACCACATCCCTCCATTCTAGGTGTATCATCAGATATCCAATACCCTTAACAGCATATGGCAAGATCACTGGAACTCGTGTGACAAGGAGAGGTTCACACACCAATTCCTTCCAGAGGTGACCCTGCTCCCACACTTTGTCCCCAGCTTTTCTGTCACCCAGCTCATTACTGGGCATGTTGGGTTCAGGTCTTACTTTGTTCAGTTCCTAAGGCAGGACGGAGGCACCTGCCTTTGTGACAACTCCACCCTGGAGGAACCTATCCACATTATATTTGACTACCCACGATTCGATCAGATTCACAGAGATCTGATCACTTCTACCATCAGGGAACAAATTGCCTGGCCTATCTGTTCAAATCTCTGCTCAGCAACAGGAACATCTTCACGGCATTCGTCAGGTTTTCAATGAAAGCTATCAGTAAAGTGTGACAAGATCAGCAAAAAAAAGGACATTACCTAACATGCAAGATGCCAATTCTTAGGCATTTCTCACATGGACAGCATCTACATAATGTTTTACTATTGTATATTACTGTGTACTGTAACCATTTGTGGTTGGTTTATTTTCTACTGCTCAATGTATAGCATTTATGTGCAGATGGGCAGCCGTACTAGTGGTAGTTTGTTTTTAAATCAAGAATTTTGTATTATTGTAGTAATTGTGCATAAATGTGTATTCTGTAATGTGCCTCTGGTCTCATGGTCAGTATATTTTTTATTTTATTTTGTCTATCAAACGGTACGGGCATGTGTGTATAAGCTCTGTTCTTTTCCTTTTCCCCTCTCACCCCTTCCCACTTCTTTCTGTGGCTATATCCTTGGGTCTAAGACCTGCAATTAAAGTATTACAAACTATAATTCCAAAAGGATAAGCAAACTTTTCAATGATTAATGGAAGGCACTATCTCAGGGAAGTACTAGTTGCTGATGGAGGCTAAAAGGTCTTATGCTCCAGATTTGAGAACAAGTAAAACAGCATCTGTCACCTCTTTTATTGCATTCTCTCATTTAAATGGCAAACTTCTTAGTTCTTTCCACAACAGCGTGTCTTTACTATCATTCTTAAATGGCCCTATCATAACAGATAAAAATAGGAAATACTTTTTCTAATTGTTAAATGCATTTGTGTTCTCACTATGTTGACAGTAATGCTTAAAGAATACAGAATATTTTATCAACTTACTTATGGGTTTTACCTGAATCAAATATTAACTGAACTTTTAATGAAATGAAAATAATAAAATTTTGAAATCCTTTATACTAATTATCTTATTTAATATTCCCTAATTCATTTTCCAAAATAATTTCAGGATTAAAAGTATAAATATAAATTATCTAAATATCCATTGAAATTTAGTTTTAAAAAATTTATTTTATTTTATTTAAAAAAAATTTGTAAATGCCTGTTACAGCAATGACATTTGCTCAGGTACAAGATCCTATTTTATGGCATCATTGCATCACAGAGTGGAAAAGGGAATGGGATCATTTACCTACATTACATTAGAAAACTTTAATGTATTCTTTGAAAATGTGAATTTTTTGATGTGCATACTTAATATTATTCTAATACAACCCTCATGAATTGATTTAGTATGATTTGATTAGTTAATTTATAATTTTAAAAGACTATGAATTACCAAAAATTGGCTCTAGTCCTATAATATTTAATTGACACTGTTTGTTTTGATATAGAAAAATTAAATGCCAATAATTTCAAAGTTCTAACACATATTTAATACATTAGTTTTATTAACTTTTAAATATAGTAAATGAAAGTAAAGTAATGCTTGCAAAACAAACAATAACAAAAAAGGAAAACATTAAAAGATTCTACATTTGAACACTTAAGAAAATTGAAGCATTGTGCAATGTACAGTACATTATAATCATATAATGAAATATTATTAAATTATATTGTAATTTTAAATAAATTTTTATTTTAATATTCACTTATTTGTAAATTGTAAATTATATAGCCAATCTATTAATACATATGTAATTAGAACTTTAAATCATTTTTCTTTAAAAAAAATCTCTATTTATTAAATAAACTGATTTTTCATTGGAAGCTTTGTTTCAAATACTGAGTTCATTACAGAATGCATTTCTACAATAAAGATATTTTCCTAAAACTTGAATAACAGTCTTCTTATGAATTAAAAGCACTTTCTTCTGAAATATTGCACAGAAATTATTGTGAAATTCCAAATGAAGAACTAAAACTAACAGTAGATTTAATTAATATTATACTACAAAACTAAATGAAACAGTCTAAATCTTTATAAATAAATAATTTTTAATTGATGATTTTGCATCAATTTCCAATTTAACCTATAATATGTTAAAAATATTTCACAAATTTTTCCACAGTTTCAATCCTGACAAACCATTTATACTATACCTGACCACATGCAAGACCCATTCCTCTTTCTCCCATTCCATGAGGACAAGACAAATTTAATTCTAATGCATCAGCACCAGCATTCTGAAAATAATTGTAAATAGAAAAATATTTTGATGTGTCATAATTTTACAAGTCACAAAGTCTATTTATCTTTAAAATTATGCTCTCAATTATACTTGAGTTTATTTATTAAAAATCTTTTAACAAAGCAGGCCTACTTATGAATAATCTACTTATGAATGTTCAACTTATAAACAATTTGACTGTATGTCTAAAATTTAAATTTTGCACGAATTCTGAAGTTCTCTTGCCAATAAATAATAAATTTTTAATAAATAATTAATGTGGATTTACTTCTATTGCATGTTGTCATTTTTTGTTTTCGTGTGAATTCTGACATTCCATTGCCACTTGTGAAGTGGTGTTGAAAACATTGGATTAGCAGTAATTTTCACTATTGTTTGAAATTTTTATAAACTTTTATGATTAGTCCTTCAAAGATGCATCCAAAACATAATAGTAAATCTAGCAGTGGAGATAAATGCAAGTGTGGCTCCATTAGCATGGAAACTAAATTTGACATTATAAAACTAAGTGCATTAGATGGAAAAAAACCCACGTTTAAAACAACTGTTACTAACCAGTAGCATTAATTTAGAAAGAACATTCATACACAGAATAACCATGTATTGATAGTATTAGTTTTAGACTTATGACAAAACCTTGAAAACTTAATGTTTTGTAAGTAGGGAAGCACCTGCATTACAAAATTATCTATCTATTTATCTTTAGCTACATAATTTTATATAGAATATATCAATTTTATAAAGTTTCTGTAAGGTAATTTTTGTGATCTAAAAATGATTCTCAGGCAAAATGCTCTTAGTAAATAGATAAATAAAAAGCAGTATTTTCTCAAAAGAAAAAAAATTAATACTACTTCATTAACATTGAACAATTATTATAATTTTACCATTTAAGATATGTAAAACGATGAATATGTTTATCTAATTTTTTCACTATATCAGCATTGTCTGCCTATTATAATGATATCTGTACTGTTTATTGTATTAAAATACAAGAACATTAATATTAAATATGTTTCATAATTTAATATTAATGTTCTTTATAATATGATATTTTGAATTCATAATCAAAACATATCAAGTATATAGAGATTTTTTAAATTATTCTTTTTCTTAATAAAGGATTACCAAGGATTGTCAAAGAAATAGGATTACAATAAGTGATGTGGCATCTGATATGTGAACTCCCTGTTGCTACCAGGTGGAACTAAGAAAATTACAAAAGGAAGTTCAAACACGTGCCTATACCTTTTTCTGTTCTGTGCTTCATCTGCTATGAACTGTGTAACTGTAACTGAAGTTTGTTGATGATAGAGAACCACAGTTATATTGTAATTAATTTTCATGTACTAACTGAATAATACTAGGTTTCATATTTTTTGTACTTTTATAAACTTTATTAATATTAATTTCATTTAATTAATGGATTATAAAAATTTAACATTTTACCTCTGCCATTTTTGCTAGCTCTTTCAATGAAAGCTATCAGTAAAGTGTGACAAGATCAGCAAAAAAAAGGACATTACCTAACATGCAAGATGCCAATTCTTAGGCATTTCTCACATGGACAGCATCTACATAATGTTTTACTATTGTATATTACTGTGTACTGTAACCATTTGTGGTTGGTTTATTTTNTTTTAAAAATATAAAAATTATAAATCCAAAACTTATTCATGTTTTTAAATAATACATAATAAAACAATATAAGTGTGAAAAATAATGATATATCTAACTTTTAACTTTTATATCACGTTCACAAACTTTTAAATGCTTTTAAAAAAGACAAATTTGAAAAATAAAATCTATATTTATTCATTATGCATGTATTGAACAGATATCAAATTGATTTTATACAAGATTTTTTTAAATATTTGTTTCTGATGACTCCAAATATTTTTTATGGGGTATTATGATACTTAAAATGTGTTAACTTTTAATAATTACCTAAGTATTGAAATGTATACAAATATCATAAAAAAAAAGGTATAAAATATCTATATTTATCGATATAAATACAGTAATCATAATAAATTTTTATTACTATAAATTACAAATAACTAAATTATTTAAAAATAATAAAATAATTAAAGTTTACTCTTTCAGAATTACAAAAAAATCAAAGGTTAAATTAAATTAATTAACTAATAACAATAATAAATTTTAGAACCTTAAATTAAAACAGAAAATAAAAAATTAGAAATAAAATCAGTATTTACATTACATTTACAAGTATGTTTAGAATGAATGTAATAATTTTTATGGAATAATTACATAGAATGTGGGACAAATCATTAAACCACAATATAATAATAAAATTTACATGTGCATTATTTACTGATACATATAGTTGAAAATTTAAGACTAAACCAAGAGTAGGGTAGATTTAAAGAGCTTTATGTATATAATATATATTCAGTTTCTATTTAATAGAAAAATCTGAAAAATAACATTATTTTTCCTGACTTAATTAAAAATCATTAAAATTAAAAAAAGATAGCACTCTATGCATAGCGCCAAAGTATTTTAATACCCAAATAAAACACAATTATATTCAATTACCAACTATTAAAATAACTTTTTGATTTATTAAAGTGTAGTGTTTTAAATTATCTTTAGAAAATAAAATTCTGAATTTTTAAAACTCAAATTATAGCTTGCAAAAGATAACATACAAGGTCATACCAACAGGTCCAATTGATTCAGCTATGCCAATCATATTTGCTGTCAACATTATAAATACAATTCTAATTTCAAATCGCTTGCCTGTGACACTATCAAACCAATATCTCCACTAACTCTGGAAAATGTAACATTCCAACAAACACTGTTCATGTACTGTACAGTACATTCATAATTTGATGCTGCATGTTTGGATTTGTCATTAGTGTACAGTAGGGATTATTTTTGTATTCAATAGTATAAAAATATATCCATTCTCCCTAAATCAACAATGTAATCCTTATGTTGTAATGTTATCTGCATGCAGAGAGGCAGTGAAAAAAAAGAACTTGCACAACATAGTTATGCATAGTATAGCATGCCCACTAATTCTTTTCTGAAGAAATGGTGAATGTCATGTGCTAAAAATGTTTTCAAAGGAAGAGGTGTGAAGAGTGTTATGATATGAGTATGTGGTTTTACCTTGACTGAAATCCATGAGAAGCTTATAGAAGTGTACAGAGACAATGTCATGACAATGTAAATGGTTCAGAAATATCACTTGTTTGCAGAAAGACAGGATAGCATGTCAAATAATAGTAGTCAGAGATGTCCCATTGCTACCACATCTGAGATAATGGAAATAAAAACAATGCACTGGTTTATAAGGGTCAGTATAAAGATGAGCAATATCGTCCATATCGTGGGCATCTTGATTGATTCTATCCATGCAATCATCAAAAAACCTTGCACTATTGTACACTTTTGTCACATTGAGTTCCATGTCAGCTCACTCCTGATGTGTTCACATTGAATAGAATACAGCCTGAACTGCCTATTCCAGAAGTGGCAAACTGTGGCACATTGGGAGAATCAACTGGCACATAACATGTCATATGATTTCAGTTTATCACCCATCTTTTTCAATAATCCTTTCAGTTTATCATCTGATCATCCTTTTTTTCAATCAGCTTCTTTATATTTATTACAATTAAAACATTTTTATTTTATTTCTTTAAATATTGTTATTCAAAGTCCAAAACTTTGGCATGCATAAATATTATTAAAGATAGTATGCTCACTATATGGCACACGGACTCAAAAACATTTGCCATCTCTCGTCTATTCTGTTACCAGAATGCCAGTGATGCTTTCCTCTTACCATGGTCACAGGAGATGAGAGCTGGGTCTATTATTTCATTCTAGAATCCAAATGTACATGAATGGAATGGAGCATCCATTTCCTCCAGTGAAAAAGAAGTTTAAGCTTGAGAAGTTCACTGAAAAATCATCTGGCTACTGTCTTCTGTGATGCTACAGATATTCTGTGAGAATTTGTGGAACTAAGAGAACTTATTACAATAAAGTATTGTAAAACCTTGCAATGACTTTGATCAGCAAACTGTCACAAATGTTCAAGACTGATGGTGTGCTCTGGCTGAATGACAATGCTTCTCCTCATATAATAAGATGACAAAAAGAAATTGTGAAACATAAATGTAAACATCTTTGACATCAGTTTGGATCTTGTACAGAGTGACTTTCACATATTCCCAGACATATTCCTAACACCGAAGAGTTGTGAAATCATCTGATCATCCAGTGCAGTTGTGTCAAATAGCCATGAAGGTGATAATACAATATGATTAAGACAGTACAAAATTACAATAACAGTTGATTTAATAAGGAATAATAACACAATGCACAAAATAAAAAAAAAGTTTGGATGCCAACTCTAGGGCGTTTTCCCAGCTCTTCTCAAGAAAACGAAAAAACAAAAAAAAAAGAAAAAAAAAACTGACACATTGACTTGTGACAAAACAAAAAGATTCCTGCATCATACAATTTTGTTAAATGGGTGCAACTGTGTACTACAAAAAAAACATTTCTTGTAACTAACTTATAACTATAGAGATGAAGTGGAAAATTAAAATAGACAAAGGAAAGGAAAAAGAAAAGGGTACCTGTACTTGGTTGATTCCTTTTTCACAGAGATGATTACTTTCAATGATTCTCAGTGAAATTTCCTTGTTTGTCCTTTTTGGGAAGGTTAACACATCCTTTTATCAAAGGAGACTGTCTCCATCAACGATTAATTGAAGCCTCGGGATTCATGTTGCATGAAGCCTTCAAGAAAGTCCCTTGCTATGGTCAGGATTGACATCTCTCCACTGTCTCCCACTCTCAACACCTTCCTGGTACAAAAAAACAGTTACCTCTCTCCTTTAGGCTCTTAGGCATATTATCTCTCCACGAGACAGTTCAGAACATCAATCATCAACCAAGTGAAGTAGAAATGAGGACAAGAGAAGATTCTAGAAACAGGAAAAGACAAGAATTGAGGACAGAAGCTACAAGCTAGAATATTCTATTAGAACTTAAAATTATGGCATACAGCCACATAGAACTTGGTAGATCAACATTTCTGAACAAACCAAAACATGAAAAATGCTGTGCAATTATTCTTTCATAGATAGAGCCCAACTTTCTATGCACAAAGTTTCCAAAATCTGGGATAAATGCCTCAATGTTATAGGCAATAATACAGAGAAGTAGAGGAAGAATGTAGGCAACAATATTATCAGGTCTGTGAAATTGATTTAACTCTTAAATGCATTAAATATTTCGATGTTGATTAATTATTATAATAAATATATCATGTTTCTTTAAGAAACTAATATTCTAAAAACAACAATCTTTAACAAAATAAAATAGAGACAGACTATTTATTGTGTTTTTAGATTTGACTTGTCATTTTATTTTTCCAGGTGTTATAACATCACATTAAAAAGTATTGTAATCATCTCAAATTTTTACTTTCTTGTTACTTTCCTTGCTATTTTAAAGTAACATAGGTTACATTCCCAACTATTATAATATAAGATTGTAATAGTGTCACATTTGATTCTCTGGATTCTTGGAATTGTGATGTTTTGACATCTATAAACCCAAAAATGCCAAAAAACTGTTACTCAAAATATGTGTGTGTGTTTTGTTTAATATCGCAGGATGGTGTAATGATTAAGAAATGAAAATTGGCATGGTAACTTGTGTATAAGGGGCATTGGTGTTATTAAATTTTGGTGGTATTTCACCACCAAAACTTATCATCATCAATGCCCCTTATACACAAGTTATCAATGCCCCTTATAATCAAGGTTGAGGGAATGGGGTGGGTTGTGTATCATATCTTTAGAGGGGTTGAACTTAATGAAGATTTTACTCATTATTAACATTTACAATCTTTTTATAAAACTCATCCCTACTCTCAAAATTAAGCTTTTTGCCATTTCATAATAATAATATAAAAAAGTTTTTATTACAAAATCTCATAACAGATAGAACCACACAATTTAATTTATTATTATTAATATAAAAGTTATATTTTTAATGAAATCTTATAACAGCCAAGAAAGTTATGTGAAGATCCCGTAGTGTGTAGACCTACAGGATGAACAGACAAAGGGAATTTTAATTTTGCTCTTGATAATTCACAATAAACCACTTATCATACAACTCACCTTTCCCTTTCCTTCCTCCTTTCAAGAGTTTTACTGCATACAACATAAACAGGTAGCCAATCAGCTACTTACATTTGTTTCTTTCCCAACAACTCTTATTTCACCGATAAAGATAACAACAATCGAGTTTACTTAAATACTAATCTTGAGATATGCATGCATTAAAAGGAAATGAGGGAGATGTGTAAGGGTAAGGATTATTGAAGCAGAGTAAGAAGGACGATATAAGGGGGATGTTGTAATTTGAGATGTGTTGCTTGTTAGGGTTAACAGATTTAACTCACTTGAATGTAACAAAAAACTAATGTCCTCAGATGACACTTCCTTCTAGTATGTACACCTTTGGTACCTATTTGTTCAATATTCAAATACATAGTCTGATGGGGATGGATTCCTTCATGGTAATCTTCTCAAAGCTTCTGATCACTCTCACTAGTCCACCTTCCTCCAATCGATGCATGGCCATCTACTCTTCCAAATGCTCCTGCTTCTCTCTCCTGACTTCAGATGGGAATAATGAACAGGGAGAAAACAAAAAAGGTGTCTCACACGCAACCTCCCAGAGTTTATACTTTCCGGGAGGATATCCCGGAAAGTATAAACTCCCTCCCCCATATGACTACTGTTGGCCAATCCAGATGCCAATTTCATATAGGCTGTTGAAAAGGTGATATGTGAGATTAGCCTGGGGTACAACCTAGAGCACCACTTAATTGCCTCAGAATCGTGAGATTCGACTTCTAAATTTTTAAGGAAGACTTTAAAGTGAAAAAGGATATAGATGGTGAAGTCTTTATCCACGTCAGTTAATCTGTTTTCTTAGACTCCAGTTAATCTGTTTTCTTACACGCGGATTAACATGTGTTCATGGATCAACATGGAGAGGATGAGATCTTTTGATTCAGACATAAGGAGACATTTCTTAAACATAAAAATATAGAATATTTAATAAAGCAAAGGAAAAATATACAGATTGGACCTTCAATATATAATTATGATATCATGGAGAGAGAGATCACATTTGGATTCCAAAATCATACTACCTCACTATATATATTCTTCTGTATTCTTTTTATTCATATCGATGTGAATGTTCGTTATTTCTCTATTTCTTCTCTTGTTTTCAATCTTGTCCCTTTTTAATTCTTAGGCAGCACTTCAATAAACATTTTCTTCAACTTGGATAACTTAGAAATAAACTTTGTATGAACTTTGGGAGTTGGTTATGGGCGTTGGTTGTGGGGAGATAATATGGAATACATCCTTCTCTTGTGGAATTTCGTGGCGTACTCCCTGAATAATACTAAAGAATCCCCTTTTTCGATGTTTTTCTCCAATGGGAATATTGTATTCTTCCCACGTGTTTACGAAGAGTGGGGGTTTACAGAGGGTATATGGACTGTATGTGACTCAAAATTTGTGAAGATAAGGGAAAACAAAAACGGTGTAGAACTTCCATTGAGATTCCTTCTCAATGGAAGTTCTACACTGTTTTTTACCGCGAGTTTTACCAGTTTCTTCATTTTTAACTTAAAATTCTTTCATTTAAAATCAGAAATATTATTTCTAAAATTATGGATCTGACATAAATCTTCAATTAATTAAGGGGTTGTTCAAAATCTCACAAATAGCACAGAATGAATGAAGAGATAGAGGAGAAAAAAAAGGAAAAAGGAAAATATATATACATTTGGAGCACTACAGTTATGCAACTTTTTGTTGGATTTTTTAAATCATTTATTCATTCAATCAATATAAAATTTTATTTTCCTATAGTAAGAAAAGCATTTTCTAATTTGAAAAAATAAACTATAAAATTTTTGCACATTTTGCCAATATATGAAAACATAACAATCAGAAAAAAATTATTGCAACAATTCTTCTAAATATTCTGAAATAGAAACTAACAGATGTATCTTTAGTAAGGATTAAATAATGTTGAATCCCTTGGTTTTAAGAAATATTTCAATTATTGTAAACATTTATTTTTTGAATTAAATCATTCTCTCTACTATCTCTACTAGAAAAGTTAAAAAACATATAGAAAATATATCTTTAAATTAAAATTTTATTTTAATTATTTACCTTATCAAGAGAAAATGTCTTTGTCAAAGCAAATCCCCATCCCGCTTCGAAAGCTCGACGAATCATTGGTGAACTAGTTGTTGGTGGTGCGCTGGCTAATCCAAAAGGATTTTCAAATTTTAAACCACACATTTCCACACTTATATCAACTAAATCAATTGGAGTAAAAAATTTTGGAAGAGATGGTTTAAAAGGAACGATTTCATTATGTAGAGACTATAAAATAGAAAATGTTAAAAAAATTCAATGAAATTTAATATTCAATAAATAATACATAGTATATATAAAAACAAGTATCCATCATACAACAGGGTATTCTTACAACATTTTTGAGAATTGGGGAAATTCCAACATGGGATTTCCCCAAATCTCAAAATTTTGTGCTAACATGGTTCGAGAATTGGAGACAATCTATACTAATATTATAAAGAGGTAATGTTTGTAAGTAAGTTTGGATGTAGCGGGTAATCTCTGAAACTACTCATCCGATTTCAAAAATTATTTCATCAATATTTAGAATGGAACTTCAGGGTGGACATAGGCTGTATATTATTCCGTTAAACATTCATATAAATTAAAAGATGTAATCTAGGTTAAGGCTTTTATGTCCAACAGATGGCGCTATGAGTACAACGCCCTAAGTTTGCTTTTCTGTGAGGCATTATGCTTATCTGTGAAAATGAACTAAAGCAGATCATCATCTATCTATCTATATAAATAAAAATGTAATGTTTGTTCCTACCAATTCCTTTGAAATTTTGACGCAACGCTGCATNTTTTTTTTTTTTTTTTTTTTTTTTTTTTTTTTTTTTTTTTTTTTTTTTTTTTTTTTTTTTTTTTTTTTTTTTTTTTTTTTTTTTTTTTTTTTTTTTTTTTTTTTTTTTTTTTTTTTTTTTTTTTTTTTTTTTTTTTTTTTTTTTTTTTTTTTTTTTTTTTTTTTTTTTTTTTTTTTTTTTTTTTTTTTTTTTTTTTTTTTTTTTTTTTTTTTTTTTTTTTTTTTTTTTTTTTTTTTTTTTTTTTTTTTTTTTTTTTTTTTTTTTTTTTTTTTTTTTTTTTTTTTTTTTTTTTTTTTTTTTTTTTTTTTTTTTTTTTTTTTTTTTTTTTTTTTTTTTTTTTTTTTTTTTTTTTTTTTTTTTTTTTTTTTTTTTTTTTTTTTTTTTTTTTTTTTTTTTTTTTTTTTTTTTTTTTTTTTTTTTTTTTTTTTTTTTTTTTTTTTTTTTTTTTTTTTTTTTTTTTTTTTTTTTTTTTTTTTTGTATAATTTTTGCCATAATCCTTCTCAAAATTTTCATGTTATTTCATTAATTAAATACTTTACTGCTTTCATAAATGCAGGTAGTGATTTATTAACAATTTTGATAAACTATAACATTAGAAATGCTTTTCTTAATACATTACAAATATTTATTTAATGTTTTCATACAAAATTTGGTCTTCTAATTAAGAATCTTATGAATTTCTTTTTGAATTATAACTAATAGAAGTTTTTTCTACTACGAAGTCAGATAGCTGCAAGTCATCCCATACAATAAATGAGAACATGGGACATCTAGAAAGTCCTAAAAATGTTCATGACCTTTAGGCACTTGGAACCTTAGGATCCATTGTAGTTTTCTGTGATAGCATCGCCTCAGGTTGATATTAGAACAAATCTCTCGTCCTCATGAAATGCACTACATATGATCGGCTGTTAATAGAGTACATCAATTTAACACAATGTGAGAGCGTGAACAGTCATATGGTAAACAAGTTACAATCAAGGGTTAAGGGGTTTGCCACTACCAAATTGGCTAAACGCCTAGAAATAGGAAATATCCTGATTGATTTTCCTGACACAACTAGACTATTTGCATTTGCTAAAACTCAAACAGGGACAACAACTATGCCTTATTGTCGATAAAGCTAGGGCACCATCACACAAGCTTGAGAAGCTCACTCTCTCTACACTTAGAGGGGTACGCTTATACTATAAATAACCCTGTAGACTTATTAACCCTCCTCAGATAAATCAACTCCCCTCCACAATTTCTCATGGTATTGGACTTTAAATCCCTATATCCTTCGATTCAACTCCTGCCTATCTTTTATGCCCTCAAGGATTGCCTATTCAACATTGTGAATGGTGAAAGCTTACATCAGCAAGTCCTAGAAATGGCACATTTATTACGCTACAGTTCGTTTTTTCAATTCAATGGTACAATATACAAACAGTCCTGACAGGAAGCCCCATCTCAGGAGACATGTGAGATGGTGATAAGACAACTGGAATGTGTACCGTAAACCGGGAGCAGAAATCATATACATATGAGTGGGGTCTTGTGACCCACATCAATAAAAAATTGCAGCTTATAATGCCTTAATTAGAAGGGCGCACACTCACTCGTCCACGCAGCAAGCTTTTCATGCTGAACTGAGATGTACTCATCGCATAGTCTCAAACATAAATTAATAGACAGGTTTCACTGCTCCCAGGAAGCACTCCAAAACCACTGACGTGACAAAGACCGACCTAATGATGAAGAAAGGATCCCAGTCACTTACAACCCGTATCTCAAGTCAATATATATGAAGATAGCTAAGAAGTATCACATTCACATCACCTACAGATGTCCAACCATTTGTGACATCCTTCATAATGGAAAGGACATTCCTAGCTGGGACAGACTCCACAGAATCTATAACATCCCAATTAAAGATCACAGATGCAATAGAGAACTCATGTACATTGGCTCTATGAAATGCTCCTTGAGGATTAGAATAAAAGAGCACATAGCAGACATATGGCACACAGGAACACCACTGAACTTGCCACTTATGCCAGTAACCCCGACATAGAGACGGATTTTAACCAGGCAAGAATTATCCGCACCTCTATATACACGGAACAATTAAGGTGGTTGGGGGCCATATATATTTACAAATGCAGTCTTAATAACAATTGTATTAACCACAAAGAAGAATCAAATCTGTCCATAGCATGGCAAGCACTAATGGATACAGAACTATAAATTATCTTCAATTGCTACCTTCAATAGTGCACATGTCTAATAAGAAGTCATCGGGTAAACATATTTGAATTTCAAATAATGTTCTTTCTTTTTTAATGGCATTATAATGGAAATTCATCACCACCTGAAGAAGAACCATTTGGAATGTTCAAAAAACGTTTGTGGAAATCTAAATTTTTTGTTTTTTAATATTAATTTCACACTGGTAACAGGCTTTGAGGTACATAATTAACTTTACTCCAGTGTTTGGTAGTGTGGACTTGACTATATCATTAATAAATGTTAACAATATATGATGTTTAATAAAAATAATAATTTTAATAAATATAATTAAATTTAAATAATGAAACTTAAAAGCAATAAAAATTTTATCACTAACTAAGTTTCAATTTTATTTTAACTCTAGTCAACTTTACCTGTAAATATCTATGCATATACCACGATGCAATTTTCCCATCATTAACTGATTCAACTGTTGTCTCAGTTATTCCTGTTATATCACCACCACAGAACACCCAGGGTTCACTAGTACACATTGTAGAAAAATCTAATTCTGGAAATCCATTTTCTTTGAACTTCAATGGAAATAGGGCTTCTAAGACTAATATAAATTAAATATAAAAATTTTTATTAATAAAAGTCTATTTAAGCTTCTGATACAAATTTATAATTTTAATAATACAGAGAAATAATCAAAGGACCTAAATTACCAGATTATTATTAAAGGACTATAATAATGCTATTAATTAAATAAAACACTACACATACCAACAAGAAAAACTACAAGAAAGCAAAATTATCATCCATGTTTATTGGGTATCATCAGCCTAACTTCTATTTGATGCCAGTTAAACACATATGAACACATGTGTTTAACTGAATCTTGTATTTTTTCTTGTTGGATTTTGGTTATATATGTTTAATAATTAAATTTTTTAATATGTTTTAAGGGTATGCAATTAGGCCAACATTGTGCTAATAATTATACTAAACTAGTATTAGCTTTTTAAGCTAGGACACAATTATGTTCATTTAATAAAAAACCTTTTAAGTTACCATGATAAGAACGAAAGTCCAAATGACAATAGGTGGGAAGATAAAAACANGTTTTGTTTATGTCCCCAATTCCCTAATCGCTTAATTATTTAACTACTTCTTAAGTAGAAATAAGTCAAAACTGGTTACTTTGTACTTGAATATTTGTAGTCTCGGGAAAGAAGTGGAAAGAAATTTTTATGACAAACAGATACATAAATCGTAAATTTAAGGAAAATAAATTCTAGAGCTTTTTCTGTTTCTTGTGCATCTTCTCATTCATTAAATTTAGTTGTAAATTATGCTACGAAAGTAACAGTTAATTTTTTAACATTATACAAGAATTGTACACGTTTTTTTCTACATCCCCTTAAAGATGGGATATACGAAATAGTAATATCACTGGTTTAACATTGAAATCCGTGAGTAATTTAAAATCAGAGAGCGGAATAAATATATCAAATATTTTAACGGATTTTTTTAAACTCCCGTCAACTATACAGAAAACTATCATAAAAACATACAGGTAAATTCTTATCAGTTGGGTTAAGTTATAAATCTACTCGCGATTCNTTTTTTAAACTCCCGTCAACTATACAGAAAACTATCATAAAAACATACAGGTAAATTCTTATCAGTTGGGTTAAGTTATAAATCTACTCGCGATTCATATAATCAGGCGAGGGCGGCCAAATATCTAGCAGGCGGGTGGCTAACAGCCCAGAACCGGTCCTGGATAGAATTGGATGTGTTATACGTGTAGCATCCATCCAAGGTCCTAGGCTTCCACTGGCTAAACTGGGTGAGGTTGGTGCTTTGTAAAGCACACGCACGAATCTGGCTGTTTGGAAGCTGACAATACAGCGCTTCCACTCGGCCACTAATATTCGAATATACAATAGCAATCTTATTTTTTTTTTCACGTGTTGTATAGAAATTTGTAATAAGATACATAATGCGGTTATAATAAAATATTGTGCGATTATTTTCATATAATTAAAATTAATATATATTTATATTTTATAAAATACAAGGGAAGCGGTGCTTCCACCGCTTCCAATGACGGCACGCCATTGAACGATAATGTAGTCGGCACATATAGTGTCTCAGTTTGTCAATGACTTTATTCACAGCGAAGCATTATTCGCACGCACTT